TTTTTTTTTTTTTTTCATTTTTTGTCTGTTCTCTTAACTTTCTAATATATTTTTTTTTTGAACAAATATGAATTATTTCTATTTAAATCACTATTTAAGGTAGAGATGTGATAGAAAAAAAATTGTAAGAAATGTTTAAATTTTCTACTATGTTAATTGAAAAATTTTAATTAGTGTGAAAATAGGGAAAAAAAAAAGGAAAAAAAAAAGGTTTATTTTTGTGAGATGAATGTAGCGTTAGTCAGGTTTTGATTAGTTAAGCCTCATAAGTTAATGACTTTTATATTAGTTACAGAGCCAACCCACTCATTTGAGATGAATTTAAGCAGAAATTGTGAGACTCGATGTAATATTGTCACCCCATAATCATTTTTTTTCTAGACTTGTCATAGGTTAATCTTTGTAATTATTTCACATGATTTCTTGAATTCTCTTAGAATGTTTTCAAGGGAAAAATACAGAGAAGGTATCCAACCTTTATGAAATGAAGATCTGAGTCCTCAATCAAATTTTCAAGTCCTTCCCAACCATTACGAACTTTTTGTAAACCATCAATGTTTTCCTCGAAGTTCTACAAATCTTGCATATCGCCTCTCTTTTTTATTATTTGGACGTGATAGATTGTGTTTGTTCCTACACGACACTCATGATTGTTGAAGTAGAACCAATAAAATTCAATGAAATCTAACGATAAAGTTATATTTCCACCGCATAAATTTTCCAAACTAGTGGGATATTTGTTAAGGGAATAAATCTCACATCGGTTAAATACCGAAATATTGATCAACTTAAATTGATCTTGAGTCACTCCTCTTAATATGGTTGACCTTATTAAAATGGACCCCAAATCTTAACATGGTATCAGAGTCTAATAAACTCCAACGAACTATTCGATCCGATTAAGTCTAAAAAACGAGCACACGAATTTCAAGATTAGTCTGCTAAAAAAGAGCCACCATCTTGCGGGGACATGTTAAATGAATAAATCTCACATCGGTTAAATATCAAAATATTGACCAACTTAAATAAATCTTAAGTCACTCGTCTTAATAAGATTGATCTTATTAAGATAGATCCCAAATCTTAACAGTATTTAGATCCTAATAAATTCTCAATCTATAATCCAACGATTATTTAACAATCTTATAGTCGGGATTGTTGTGACTTGTCTTAATAATATATTGAAATTCAACGATCTCAATAATATTATACTTCTGATTAGTTCATTCTATGTACAGTGTATTTCATTCAAAATATTCAACAAGATTAGTAGTTGTACCTAACCTGCTTTACAAGGATGACAAATGTATCACGACAACAAATTTGAAATTTTTTTAACTATGACCAGAAACTGTATTAATATCAAATGCCAATCTTTTCTTCCTAAACAAGTGTTGTGTATTAAATGTGATCTTTTTCTTTACTTAAGAGAGTGATTTTTAGGAATATAATATCAAATAGGTGTTTTAAGGGACTTGAAACTTCACAGGTGGCTTTTAATGTAGGATTTTATTTTAAGCTTTTCTTCTCAGGTCTCTAACCATTCCATTTTTGGACTCGTGCAGGATTTTTCTCTTTCAACCATAAAGAAACTTTTGATAAAGTGTCACCACTTTCCTGGAAAGTGAATCAAATATGAGTTCAAAGTCGATTAAATGCACCATTGAGAACTCTCATCTTCTCAAAGGAGAATCTTGAAAATGAATATGAATACTTATAAGTTTATATTCTGTTTGATTCACTTACTTCGATCAATATCAAAAATATCGGCTTTGACAGACAGTATCATTACATCCCAATCTCTTAAAGATGGCAAAACACTGGTTTCAGAAGGGGGGAGTTTTGAACTGGGTTTTTTTAGTCCAGGTAATTCCAAGAATCGGTACTTGGGAATTTGGTACAAGAACATCCCAGTAAGAACCGTTGTTTGGGTTGCAAATAGACAAAATCCTATAAAAGATTCGTCTGGCACACTGACGATCAATAGCACCGGTAGTCTTGTACTTTCAAGGCGGAATAATAGTGCTGTATTGTACACAAAACCATCGAAGGGCGCTCAGGATCCAATATTACAGCTTTTAGATTCAGGAAATCTTGTTTTGAGAGAGAATATAGATGGAAACACAGATGTTTATCTGTGGCAGAGCTTTGATTATCCATCTGATACGTTGTTACCCTATATGAAGCTCGGGTGGGACTTGAGAACTGGTCTTAATAGGAGACTATTTTCGTGGAAGAATTCTGTACACAAAACCATCGAAGGGCGCTCAGGATCCAATATTACAGCTTTTAGATTCAGGAAATCTTGTTTTGAGAGAGAATATAGATGGAAACACAGATGTTTATCTGTGGCAGAGCTTTGATTATCCATCTGATACGTTGTTACCCTATATGAAGCTCGGGTGGGACTTGAGAACTGGTCTTAATAGGAGACTATTTTCGTGGAAGAATTCTGATGATCCATCTCCTGGAATGCTAAGTCGTGGGATAGAACTTGCTGAATATCCTCAGATAGTTATGAGGAAGGGATCAAGAAAGATATATCGAAGTGGTTCATGGAATGGCATGCAATTTAGCGGTGGTCCTGAATTAAGGCTCAACCCAGTATTTGAATATAAGTTTGTGTTTAACCAGGAGGAGGTTTACTACATGTACCAGCTCAAGAACAAATCTATAATCTCGAGGCTTGTTTTGAATGAAACCACTTCTTCACGTGAACGCTATGTATGGGTGGAAGCAGATCAATCTTGGAAGCTTTATTCAGTAATACCTCGAGACTATTGTGACAATTATGCTCTATGTGGCGCAAATGGAATATGTTCCATCAGTAATTCACCAGTTTGCAGATGTTTGGACGGTTTTAAACCAAAGTCAGCCCAAAGCTGGAACTCGATAGACTGGTCACTTGGATGCATACGCAATGAGACTCTAGATTGCCAGAGTAAACATGATTTTATGAAAATTTCAGGCTTCAAACTGCCTGATACTCCGTATTCTTGGGTTAACATGAGTATGAATCTTGAGGAATGCAGAAAGACATGCTTGAAGAATTGTTCTTGTATTGCCTACGCAAACTCAGATATTAGCCGACAAGGCACTGGATGTATCCTTTGGTTTGGAGATTTGGTTGATATTAGAGAGATTACAGATGGGAGGCAAGATCTTTATATAAGAATTACTGCTTCAAACAGACGTATGTCTTTCATTCTAGGTTGCAGTGGCTTGGAAAACTTTATGTAGCGTCAACTTGTTACTTGCATTTCTTGTTGGTTTTACTGATCAAAATTGCACCTTTGTGACAGCTTACAGACCTCCAGTGAAAATACTAGTGGTGATTGTGACTGCCATTGCTGTGTCCTGCGGAGTGCTTCTTGTGAGTTACTGTGTTTGCAGGTGGAAGATGAAATCTGAAGGTAAATTTTCGGGAATTTGCCTCTCTCTTTGAAATGCAAAGATGGATATGAGTATAACAATCTCCAACTATATTCTTGAAACAGAGGAAAATAATGGAGGAGACAACATCAGTGAAGTAGCAAATGAAGATTTGGATCTACCCTTATTTAGCTTGGCTACACTATCTCTGGCCACGGAGAATTTTTCTGTAAACATGAAACTCGGTGAAGGAGGATTTGGACCTGTCTACAAGGTAAGCTCAACATGATCTCAAGAAGAATATTAGCCTTTTATAGTACTTGGTAAATGGATCAAGTAGAGATGAAAAATTTAATTTTCTTGGAGAAAACATCGGTTTTCTAACAATATATAACATTCAGGGCACACTAGAAGACGGGCAAAACATAGGTGTGAAGACATTGTCAAAGTATTCTGGACAAGGACCAAATGAGTTCAAGAATGAAGTTAAACTGATCGTAAAACTACAACACAGAAATCTTGTAAAGCTTCTTGGCTGTTGCATTGAAGGCGAAGAAAAAATGTTGGTTTATGAATACATGCCCAATGGAAGTCTGGACTCGTTCGTTTTTGGTTCGTATTCTGAAAAGATTCTTCAGCAATTTACTGAACTAATGAATCTGGCGTCATTTTCTTGGACAAAAATTAACTTATGTTTTTTTGTCAGATCAAACAAGAGCAAAACTATTAGATTGGTCGAAGCGGTTCAATATCATTTGTGGAGTTGCTCGGGGACTTCTCTACCTTCATCAAGATTCCAGGTTGAGAATTATTCATAGAGATCTCAAAATGAGTAATGTGTTACTTGATAAAGAGCTGAATCCAAAAATCTCCGATTTCGGAATGGCAAGAACTTTTGTAGGCGATCAAAGTGGAGAAAAAACAAAGAGAATAGTGGGAACATAGTATGTCCAAACAAAACTTTTAAATGCACATCATCTACAACTGCAATGTTTTCATTGCAGTCTTACGTAATCATTCATTTGATGCTTGACAGTGGTTATATGGCTCCGGAATATGCATTTTATGGGTCGTTTTCCGTAAAATCCGATGTCTTTAGCTTTGGCATTCTACTACTGGAGGTCATCAGTGGAAAGAAGAATCGTGGATTTGATCATCCACAGAATCAAAATCTTATTGGATATGTAAGTGTTAAACAAATGTAGTGTAAAATTTCTTCCAGTGTTTGATTTGAGTTACATTTGTTACGATTCAGGCGTGGAGATTGTGGACAGAAGGCAGGCCACTTGAATTGATTGATTCATTGCTGGAAAATACAGGCATTCGACCAGAGATGTTAAGATGCATCCATACAGGTCTCTTGTGTGTGCAACAATCTCCAGAAGATAGGCCAACAATGTCATCAGTGATTTTGATGTTAAATGGAGAAAGTACATTGTCTCAGCCAAAATACCCTGGTTTTCTGATAGATCTGCTTCCAGGTGAAACTTGTCCTCTAACCAGCAACAATGAACCTGGCTCGGCCAATTATTCTTCTATTACGCTGTTGGAGGCTCGATGACCATGTCATTCCCATTGGAGATCCGGTGAATCACTACAATATTTGATTCACGGGGTTGTCATCATTTCACACAAATTTTTTCATCATCGTGTTAGAAATTTTTTAAAATCTTATTCATTGTATTTATAATGCTCCAAGTGAGAACCACTTCAATAGACATAAATCTGTATCAATCAAATCAAGCTGTTGCCATTTATTTATTTTTTTAAACCCAACGAAATTTTCATATTTATTTGATAATTTGTCCGCTCTGCCTTTCCTAGTGAAGGAGAGAGAGGGTTTAACAAGTTGATGCAGCTAAGAAAGAAAGTCTTGTGAAAGCGATTATAGGCACACTTCTATACTCATTGATCCACTGCTTGATATGCAATATTTCAAGCCCTTGACCTCTGTTACTTTCAACAATCAAACAAATATCATTCTCACAAGAAATTTTCTTACTAAGATATCAAATCATCAAAACCTGACCAATTTTCTATATCTCCCAATTTCTCTGTGTTCAATGTGAATAATATGAAAAATTCACGCACGGTTTACAGTTCATTTACGGATTGTTTGCAGACTTGATAGGACTAAAAAAGAAAGTGAAGTTAAGAACTGAATATTGTTCAGTCATATACTGCGTACTGAACTTGTCCTCGGGGAAAAAGGAGTACTGTTAAAATGCTGAAATTTTAGGATGATGCAAGTATTCAGGTTGCACTTTGTAAATTGATTTGGCGTAAAACAAGAAACGATCACTCCAATCATAAGTTGCTGGGATTCGCAATGTCTTTGTTAAAATCAAGTAACTCTTCCCTCTTGCTTTGTACTCGTATAACTTAGTACTAGATGGACATTAATTTGTCAGCCAGCTTCTTGGAAATGCACCAACCAATTAGAGAGATGCTTCCCTTACATAATTTCTACTCCAGAAAAAGAAAGCAGCACCTTGGTATTGATAACCGTGTAAGACAGTCCATTTGTTAGCTAGCATCCATGTTTAGTCTACCGAATTGGACAATATTAAGAGAGAAAAGAAGATAAAATTTTGTTAGCGCAGTGCTGTCAGTGTCAGTCTACTAAACATGTAATGGGGGGAAATTTGTCTATTTGCCATCTCAAATAAGTGCTGTTTCATTATTGATGATTTTGATTCCAAATGTGTACTACATACTGCACATTACATAGTTGTACAAACCTCGTAAACTTATTCATTAGCGAGCTTCCAAAGATGTAATAGAAAAATAATTAGCTGAACATGGATCCTTGCTCGATGAGGGGCCAGTTTCACCTGGAATCAAGTCTATCAGAAAACCCGGGTGTTTTGGCTGAGGTAGTGTACTTTCTCCATTTAACATCAGAACCACTGATGACATAGTTGGCCTATCTTCTGGAGACTGCTGAACACACAAGAGAGCTATGTGGATGCATCTTAACATTTCTGGTTGAATGGCTGTATCCTCCAGCAATGAATCAATCAATTCAAGTGGCCTGCCTTCTGTCCACAATCTCCAACCCTAAAACGAAGAAAATGTTACTAATTTGAACACATGAAGAATTTAAGGATTTATATTGTTTCACACTTACATATCCAATAAGATTTTGGCTCAGTGGATGATCAAACCCTCGATTCTTCTTACCACTTAATATCTCCAGCAGTAGAATGCCAAAGCTAAAGACATCTGATTTTACCGAAAACAACCCATAAAAAGCATATTCAGGGGCCATGTAACCACTGTCAAACATCACAAATAAACTATTACACAAGGAGAAAATGAAAACATAGCAATTGTAGCAGTTTGTATAAAGTTCTGTTTGGGCATACTATGTTCCAACAACTCTCTTTGTAGTTTCTCCACTTTCATCGCCTCCAAAGGTTCTAGCCATTCCAAAATCAGAGATTTTTGGGTTCAGCTCTTTATCAAGTAACACATTACTTGCTTTGAGGTCCCTATGAATTATTCTCAATCTTGAATCTTGATGAAGGTAGAGAAGTCCCCGGGCAACTCCACATATGATGTTGAAACGCTTTGGCCAATCTAATAGCTTCCCTCTTGTTCGATCTGATCATTCAAAAAGAAGTTATTTCATTTTCCAACTTAATTTCCCAAAAACAGCAATATATAATTAGCTGAATCCAGGAAACAAATGCATTAGTTCAAGTAAATTTAAGAAGATTCATTTTCAGCTACGAACCAAAAACAAATGAATCCAAACTTCCATTGAGCAAGTATTCGTAAATCAATATTTTTTCTTCTCCTTCAATGCAACAACCAAGAAGCTTTACAAGATTCCTGTGTTGAAGTTTTTCTATCAATTTCACTTCATTCTTGAACTCATTTATTCCTTGTCCTGAACTCTTGGACAGTTTCTTCACAGCAATGTTCTGCCCATCTTCTAGTGTTCCCTGAAAGTTATAAATTGTTGGAAAACTTATGGATTCTACAAAAAGTTAAATTTATTCTTCCTTCCCTTTATCTATTCACTAAGTACAATAAAAGCTCAGTTTTGCTCTTCAAATCATGTTAAATTTACCTTGTAGACAGGTCCAAATCCTCCTTCCCCAAGTTTCTTCTTCACTGAAAAATTATCAGTGGCATGAGATATCGTAGCCAAGTTAAAGATAGGTAGATCCATATCTTCTTTTGGGCACTCAGTAATGCTGTCTCCGATTTCCCCTGTTTCCATAAGTAGTTGAGAGGTTGGTAGAAATATATAAAATGCTTAATGACTAAAAGAAGTTTTCAAACTATCATCAATTTTCTTTTTATAAAGAAATCATTCTTTGCCTCTGCAAATTCAGCTCTAATATAAAATTAAAAGCAACGCCTGCAATTGGTAATGCTAGTCGTCAATGGTTGTTAATCAAACCGAACAACAAGAAACTATTGATTGATTCGGTAGCCTATAAACATAAGAGGGAAATAAAATCTTTCTTTTTGTGTAATTTTTACCCAAACTTCAACTTCTTTCAATGCGAAGAAGCTCAGGTAATGCTAGCAGGTAACTTAATTAACATGTATTGGCTAGGGGTAGGATCGTCTCTAAAAATTTACCTTCCAACTTCGTCTTTCTCCTGCAAACACAGTAGCTGACAAGAAGCACTACACAAATTGCAGCAATGGCAGCTACAATTATAACTACTACTCGCGCTGGAGGTCTATCTGCAGTTAAATTGGTGCAATATTGATAAGCTGAACAAACGACGAAGTGCAACATGACACTAAACTTTGCCAAGATATGAGCTTTACTTGAATAAATATAACAATTAATTTTCTTCTGTACTGAACCAGCCAAGGCACTAGAACCAAGAACGGAGGAAATACCTTTGTTTGAAGCTGGCATTCTTATATAAAGATCTTGCCCACCATCAGAAAAGGTTCTAATGTCTACCAAATCCCCAAACCAAAGAGCACATCCACTGCCTCGTCCACTAATATCTGAGTTTGTGTAAGCATTACAAGAACAATTCTTCAGGCATGTCTCTCTGCACTCCTTGAGATTCATACTCTTGTTTATCCAAGAATGTGTAGTATCAGGCAGTTTCAAGCCCGAAAATTTGATGAAACCATGTTTCCTCTGGCAGTCAAGTGGCTCATTGCGTATGCATCCCTGTGACCAATCGATAGCATTCCAGCTTTGAGCTGACTTTGGTTTAAAGCCTTCCAAACATTTGCAAACCGGTGAATCACTGATGGAACATATTCCATTTGCACCACAGAGAGCATAATTGTCACAATAGTCTCGTGGTACTGATGCATAAAGCTTCCAAGATTGTTCTGCTTCCAGCCATACATATCGTTGTCGTGAGGAAGTGGTTTCATTCAAAAGAAGCCTAGTGATTACTGATTTGTTCTTCAATTGGTACATGTAGTAAACTTCCTCCTGGTTAGACACAAACTCAAATCCAAATACTGGGTTGATCCTTAATTCAGGTGCACCACTAAATCGCAGGCCATTCCATGGACCACCTCGAAAAAACTTTCTGGAGCCCTTCCACATAACTACCTGAGGATAGTCACCAAGTTCTATCCCATTACTTAGCGTTCCAGGAGATGGATCATCAAAATTCTTCCATGAAGAGAGGCCCTTACTAAGACCAGTTCTCAAGTCCCATCCAAGCTTCATGCCCGGCAACAGCGTGTCTGATGGATAATCAAAGCTCTGCCACAAATAAACATCCGTATTACCATCTCGGTTATCTCTCAGGACAAGATTTCCCGAATCTAAAAGCTGTAATATCAAATCCTGACCTCCGTTCGATGGCTTTGTGGACCAAACAACACTATTATTCCGATCTGAAAGTACAAGACTGCTTGTGCTATTAATCATCAGTGTGCCAGATAAATCTTTTAAAGGATTCTGTCTATTCGCAACCCAAACAACAGTTCTGATTGGGATATTCTTGTACCAAATTCCCAAGTACCGATTACTGGAACTTCCTGGACTGAAAAACCCCAGTTCAAAACTCCCACCTTCTGAAGCAATTGTTTCGCCATCATTAAGAGATTGCGATGTTGTAATACTGTAAGTTAAAGCAGATATTTTTAATAACGAACATAATAAGGGCATTAAACAGAATACATACCAAATATTATTCATTGAAATTTCATGCATTTTCTTCTCTTTTTGTTGAGAAGCTGGGATTCCTCAATGAAGCATTACATATAACGCGCCCATTAACTTCCAAGGAAGGGCACCAAAAAGTCTGACAACTGATGACTTCACATTGTAAGACGATGGTGACCTTTGCCATTAATTTCTCTAAGGTTGAAAATTCCATGCCCAAAGAACAATTTCAATATAAACTACCAAGAAAATTGGTAGAAGCCTGAGGAAAAAAGGAAGAATTAGGATAGTGCTATGACAGCTACCTGTTGAATTTTCAACATCCATTATTGAGATTACTGTACACAATTGATATTTACAATCAGATGGCAATTGGCTGCGAGTAATTAAAAAAAAAAAAAAACCTTCTTCAAAACTTTCCCGAAAGAAGCAAAACATAACTTGAACTGCGTAATAAATAGTTAAATACACTAATTATTCTTGGGTTACGTAACCTTTGGTGTCCAAATTGGACGCAAGACCCAAAAATAACCCATCACGTTAGTCCCTCGTTGATAATGATTAAAATTTAGATTTTAATTTACGTTAAAGCTAATAATTAATTTTAATAACTTATATCATAAAATTCACAATTTTTCAATCATATATTTTCATCAATTTTTATCAAAATCAGTAAATTTTAATTAGTTAATAGAAATATGTGTGTATTTAGGATTATTCTCGAGGTACATAAAGAAGGACATAAGGATGTCCATTTTTGGACACCCGACACCTCCATTGCACGCCCCTCGAATAGGGGGGAGCGCATCCATGTGGTTGAGATACTGATGCTGCAATTTAATTGCATTATGCAACCTGGGCAAAACAGTCAGGCATCACTTCATTGATCTGGATAGGGATGGAGAATTTTATGGTCCCGACACCCGTCTTGGCTTCGAATCTTATTTTCTTAATTGGATTTCACTACTTGTACATGATACGGTGCATATACGATTACTGAAAATGATGCAAAAGAAAAAAATGAGATAAAAATTTAATTGTGTATTAACCAATAAATGGTAAACAATCATGTGACATTATATAATCTTTTATGTAAGCTTCGTTATACATGTAACAAAGCTTTTTTTACTTTTATGCTTATATTTTTAACGATCTTGTTAACATTATCAAATAATTTTGACATCTCCTTGACAGAATGTCACATGATATTTTATCATTGACTAATTTTAAAAAAGTCAGCATTTTTATTCAATCACTTGTTATCATACCTCATTCTATCATCCAAAATGTTAAAAATCGTTGACAAAGTAGATTAATTCTAAATTTAAAGCATGTTTCTAAAAACAAATAAGTGGATGAGACGATAAATCAAGATGTCTTGTCTACCAAAAATTTCTGACGGTATGAGGTAACGAGGAGGATCACTCCGTCCAAAAATAAAAATGTAAAAATGTGCATTATGAACATAGACTTTGCATTCGGAAGAGACAAAAAAATATAAATTATATATTGTTCGTTTTCAAAAGAAAATGTTATCATTCAAGAAAAGTAACTAATGTGGATTAATAAGATCTCTAAAATACGTAAATTCTCAAATATTGACACGAAGTGCTTAGTTGCACCTTTTTATCTGCCAAACAACACAAAGCTATAAATTTGTCATTACCAACTTGCCAAACGCGTTAAGAAATAATTTTTTACAACATTGGATAATTGTGCAACGACTTTAAATATTTTTTTGAATTTCTGTATACTTTTGAATCTAATCATCAACAATGAACAACTAAAACAAAAAAAAAAAAAAAGGTTATTAGTTGTCACGAAATATTAGTCCAAGAACTTGATTTGATGGAATTCAAGTTCAGTTTCACGCTACTAATTTTAAACAGGACCAATCCAATTGGCTCAACCCGCAACTTATGTATTTACTTCGGTTGCTTCTTACTTTCACCAACAAAGCACAAGAATTTGGTGATGTTTTGCTGCTACAAAGAAGAAGGAATGATGGAAGAAATACTGTTGAACTCAAAAAGTACAAAGGGGAGAATAACATAGAAGAGCAACCACTATTTTCTTTCTATGAAAAGCACGCACGAGGTCACAGTACCAAAAGGAGGCAATTTATGGGAACACGTCATAAACTAAGTTTGTGCCGTTATAGGGTAAATGGACCAAGACATATAAAGAGCCCTCCATTACCTAAATATTTAGTTCATGAGAAACTTAACTAATCAAGCTACTTTCAATAGCCCACATTATTTTCAGATGAGCCAATAAATTGATGTGTTGATGATAATTTCACTGTCGCTGAAACTTAATTCAAATTGTTTAATATTGTCGCCTGAGATTTATTGAATATCAAAATCAACAAATCTCCGCCTCGTTATCTAATGAACCTATAAGCAAACAACATCAAGTTTATACTTACCTAATCCAGATAACCAAATAAAACTGAAATCGCTAACTTTACCTAGTATCTCGGACCCAAAACACATATCATATATGTTTCATGTACTCATCAAAGGTTAAGGTCAAGAACACCCAAGTAGAAAATAGGTAATCACAGTAATGAATCAAGAGCATATAAAACATGCGAAAAAGATATAACAAATTATCATGCATAGAACTTTTCAAACATTTTAGTCAAGCAAAAAATAGTTGACTAATTTCAAGTTAAGCAATCAAAATAGCCAACATACATAACAAATGCATAAATGATCTTACGAAAAAATATCACCACAATTGTCCTACCACATTCTCTATAGCTCGCATTTCGGGAACACATATCTCTTCTCCTCGTCAACAATTGTCATTAGATTGATCACTACTCATTTTTAACTGATGAACCATTATAAATCCTAAGTCAAAGGGATGGTTCATTATCACTACCTCACATCTCTTAACTTAGATAGATAATAAGCCTCCATCTAATAGAAGTGGGGTGCTCCAACCGATCAATATTCTCACAGATAGAGAATTCCAACATTTAATCACATTACCTTTTCGTGATCCAAATGTTACTCTCCACATCCTCCATATATATTACCAATGCACCCTCAATATATTGTTCGTTTTCAAGCAAAATTAAGAAAGAAAGTAAAAGAAATAAAATAATTGAATGTAAGGTGAAAATTCAAATGATAACTTCATTCAAGTAACTATTGTGAATCGATAAGATCTCTACAATACGTAAGTTCTCAAATATTGATGCGGATTTTTAGTTGCACCTCCTATAACCGGGGTTGTTCAAGGGGCTTTATTCCTTCCCAAAAAACTAGTTATTAATTTGTCATTATCAACTTGCTAAACTCATCAGGAAATAATTTTTTGCAGCATCAGATAATTGTGCAACAAATTCAATTTATTTTTGAATTTCTGTATACATATCAAATTTCCCAAAAAAAAATAAAAATGTTATTTGCTATTATTAATAATTACAAGTGAATATCTTGAAATCCTCTCTGTTGAAGAGCCTCTTCCAAGAAAAACTCAAACTGCTCCATCAACTCAGGGCTTAATCTAAACATCAAAATACAGAATTCCATCTGATTGAGAGCTCCACCTCCATCAAAATCACCTTCATGCCATAAAGATCATTATCTGAAAAATCTTGTGTTAGGATTATCGACCCAACACCAACAAACAATCGTAAAACAGTAAAAATAAAGCAAGAACAAAAATCGAACACAGAAATTTTCACCCAGTTTAGCCTGAAATGGCCTAATCTGGGGGCCTCAGAGGTAAGCCCATCACTAGCAAGAAACCTTCAAGAGAGTGTACAACCAGTTGAAGAAACCACATCATACCCACTATATGATCATCGATCCACAAGGATCTCTCAATAACTCGAAAACCTAGCCACAAGACTAGATAAAACCTTCCCAAGAACACACTACAGATTTACCAGCCACAATCAAGGCCTAAAACTCTGTACCATAGTTCTATCATCATCAAATAACAACAAGATTATTACAATAACCTTCACTGGTTCTTCAATTCAAAAGAGAAAGGAAGAAGCAGAAACATGAAGGAACGAGAGAGAGAGAGAGAGAGAGAGAGAGAAACTTGAAGGGACAATTTCTGCCAAATGAAAAGAAAAGTGCCGGCTGACTTCTTCTCATCAACCCTTAAAGTCTCCTTTTGCATTAATTATATGAGACTAAATCTCAACCATAGATGTGGATCAATGGTCCATAAATGATAAGAGAAAAACCACAACTCTAGTGACATTATTTTATCCAATAACCGAATGCCATCTGTCCATGGCGTATAAAGAGTAGAAAACGTTTTTTCACTTATGGATGTGTTGTTTGAGAATCACGACTTCACAAATCTTCACCTTGGTTCTCAAACCGCGCACTTCCTCTCTTGTTGCTATAATGCTAGTGACAGAACCTTACCCTACATCATTGCCCAAGTACCTGCACAAAAATCAACCTGTATCAATATTAAGCAATGATAAACAAGATTTGAATTTATTAACAGTCAGTATTTTAGTCCCCATATCAGCAGGATTAAAATCAGTATGAATTTTCTCAAGAGCCATTTCACCAGATGAGAGTTTTTCTCTTATGAAATGATACTTCACCTCAATGTGTTTTGACCTTTCATGATAGACAAGATTTTTGCTTAAAAGTAAAGCACTTTGACTATCAGTTAATATCACAGGTGGAGTATTTAGAAAATTCAGTTCAGTTAAGATCCCTTTAAGCCACATGCATTCTTTTACACATTCAGTAATTGCCACATATTTAGCTTCAGTGCTAGACAAAGTTACAATTGATTGAAGTTGAGACTTCCACGTAATACAATTATCACCAAGTGTAAAAAAGAAGGCAATTGTAGACTTTCTTTGATCTTTATCTCCAGCGAAATCGGAATCCACATATCCTTTAAGAGTTAATAGTTTCGATCCCTTTTTGAACACCAATCCTACATTTAGTGTCCCAACTATGTATCTAAGTAGCCACTTTAACCCAGCCCAATGTGGTTTTCCAGGGTTTGCCATAAACCTACTTAAAAAACTGATTGAATATGCAAGATCTGGTCGTGTTGTAATCATGGAAAACATAACAGATCCAATTGCATTGGCATATGGGATATTTGTCATATCTTTAATTTCAGATTCAGTTTTTGGACACTGGGCTGATGAGAGATTCATATGGGCAGCAAGGGGAACATTGACGGACTTAGCTTCTTTCATGCCAAACTTCATTATAACTTTGTGTAGGTAGGGTTCTTGTGATATGGTTAGCAT